GGATAGCGAAGTAGGGAAAGTAAGGGTAAGGGTCGTGTTGGTTTAGATCGTCCCCTTCATTCGTATTTATGGGGCCTCCTCTGCCACCAGCAGGCCTGACCCTTGGCGAGGTGGGGGATGACCAGTGTCACAGTGGCTGCTGCTGTCTTTCCTGAAGCTATTTCCTGTCTAGCTCCTGGGGATAGCTGGGAGGGGCCCTTCCTTTCACTGCCACTTCCACGCCCCCCCCAGTCCCATCAGTTAATGGGAGGGTCCAGGAAAGCAGTCCTCCCATGAACCCCTTCCACTTGAGGGGGCCTGGGTGTCTGCAGGAGTTGCCTATGGAAGAGGGGGAAGGAAAGGATTTAGAACCTGACATTGATTCGTAGGAACCCAGTCTGGAGGAGCAGAGAAAGTGGGGGTTGAGCATCTGGAGATATCTGGGGAACTGCCAGGCGCCTCCAATTCTCCAGAGAGGACAGCCAGGCCTGCAATGACCTCTTGTCCCGGTGTACTTATCTTCTTGCCACAAGAGGTGCTCCCCACACCCCTGCCCTTCCTCGATGCCCTGCTGAGCCCTGCTCCGGGGTGGGGGGTCACCCGGGGCAGGAAACAGCCGGCTTCGCTGGAGCCAGACAGACCAGCCTGGGGCTGGGAATCCCACTCTCTTGGCCAGCCTATCCCAAACCCGCTCTCCCCACTTTAAGTTATCCAGCCCCTCCTACAGATCATGTAGCCTCTAAAAGTTGTACCTTAGTCACCTCCCAAGCTCTGCTCTCAACCCTGCTAAGGGAGGGCCTGAATCTCTTGCTATTTTTCATTTGGTGGGGGGGCACTTATAGGGGGATGAGGGTGCCCAGAGAGGCTTGGCCTGAATGATGCTGAGATTGAAGAGCTCAGAGAAACGAAGCCTCCGATGGATCCAGAGATGGGGAAACAGGTGAGGGGTCGGCAGCTGGTGAGGAGTTAACAGCTCACCTGTTTATCCGCCTCCTGGGGACCAGGTTCCAGGTTAGCTAACAGTCGGACCTGTATGAAGGGCGGGCTTATCAGGCCCCACTCCTCAGCATGTCATCTGGTTCCTAGTACCTAATGAGTATCACAAAAAGAAAATAGAAACCTTTATTCCACATCTATTACACTGTCAGGTGAGTGAGTGTTGGGCTGCTGCTAGATCAGTGGTTCAAACCCACCGGCCACTCTCGGACAGAGATGAGGCTGCCTGCCTGGGTAAAAATGCGTGCAGCCTAGGAAACCCTCTGTGGGGTCCTTGGGCGTTGGAACGGACCCCATGGCTGTGGGTTTGGTTTGGGATTGGGCTGCACTCCAGATCACTCCTGGCCTCTAAGAGCTTGTGCTGTTGCCGCCGCCCCTCCAGTGAGTCTCTAACCTAAGGCAACCTCATGCACAGTGAAACAGATGGGTTGTGGATCCCACCGTGGTGCACTGTTACAGGGTTTGCTGAGCCTGGCTCTTGGAAGTAGACTGCCAGGACTTGCTTCCTGGTGTGCCTTGATCCGGAAGCTCCACCAAAACCTGTCCCTCCGCACCACGGTGACAGCCAAGCCTCCACCGGCAGGTGCTTGACTGCACAGAAGGGGAAGTGTGTAGACTAGGCCTTGGACCCAGGTCTCCTACCTGGAAGGCAAGACTGGGGCGAAAAGACGAACAGCAGCCCCAAATCGGTTGCTGTCAAACCAGCCGGGACTCGTGGAGGGCACATGGATGTGACAGAGTAGAACTGAGCCCTCAGAAGGAGGTTGCAACACTTTGCTGACCGGCTAGTTCAAGCCAAAGCTAGCCCACCACCCCACCTCCTCTAAAGACCTATAATGCTCCAGGCTCACCAATTGCCCGACCGACTGTCGGCACCCAGGAGTTAGCGCGTGACCGGTGAGCAATGTGCGAACATGAAAACACGAGTATGCTTGTCAGCAATGTAAGATCTTTTGACTAAGGTACCTCTGGGTGGACCAGAACTTCCAACCTTTGGGTTCTCCACCCCAGGTTCATCAGTTCTACG